AATAACAGATAATCAGAGTTGGAAGGGACCTTGTAGGTCATCTAGTCCAACTCCCCACCCAAGCAGGAGATGCTACACCATTTCTGACAGTCCAATCTCTTCTTGGAAGCCTCCGGTGATGAAGCTCCCACAACTTCTGAAGGCAACTTCTGTTCCACTGGTTGATTGTTCTCCCTGTCAGAAAGTTTCTCCTTATTTCCAGGTTGAATCTCTCCTTGGTCAGTTTCCATCCATTATTCCTTGTCTGGCCTACAGGCTTGACCCCTTCCACTCTGTGGCAGCCCCTCCTCAAATATTACAACACTGCTATCCTGTCTCCCCTGGTCCTTCTCTTCACTAGACTAGCCAGGCTCAGTTCCTGCAACTGTTCATCATTATGTTTTTGTCATCTCCAGTCCCCTCATTATCCTGGTTGCTCTTCTCTGTACTCTTTCTAGCTTGACAATAGCTCGACCCATTTCTTCTTTGGGGCAGCACCTGAGCTATTGGAACACTGCTATCCTTTCCCCCCTGGTCCTTCTTTTCATTCAACTAGACATACCCAATTGATAAAACATAGAATAATAGAATTGGAAGGGACCTTGGAGGTCTTCTAATCCAACCCCCTGCCTAGGCAGGAAACCCTACACAACTTCAGACAAATGGTTATCCAATCTCTTCTTAAAACTTCCAGTGTTGGAGCATTTACAACTTCTGGAGGCAAGTTGTTTCATTGATTAATTGTTCTAACTGTCAGGAAATTTCTCCTTAGTTCTAAGTCGCTTCTCTCCTTGGTTAGTCAACTTAGGGACTTAGGCTAGGAGACACTCTTAACCCAACAGAGAAAACTCCAGGAACAAACTTATCAATTTAGGAGCATTGATGTATATAGATCAATGAAAAAGATAGGGTTGCTTGTTTTTTTTAATTAAAAGGGATATAACAAATACTCTTTTACCGAGCCGTATTACAATTGAACCCATTTCAAATTTGAAAAGACATAAACGTACAAAATCATATTTGAAAAAGACAGTTTACAAACATTTTTTTTAAAAAAAAAAGAAAGAAAAACCTCATATTTGCCTCAAAGAAGGAGAGTTAGATTCAAAAAATCCCCCCTTTCAGGTGGGAAATTTCTCCGGCAACAAATGGTGTTCTGGATTACTTTGAGCTGTGCCGTTCCTTGGGAATATGATCGTTTATTGCAAAAACCCTACTGATGAACAATCAACAGAGTGGAGAGCTTTTTTCTAACGATTGCATGTTTCTTTCTTCTCTCTTTTGGGCTCCGATGTCCCCACATGCAACCCTATTCTTTTTTTTTTAACGTTGTTTGAAAAAAGTTTTAACCCGCTCTGGCGCCTACCACGTACCATGGGCCTGGATTACAGAAACTGAACAATCCTTTCTCACGATTTGTCTTGGGGTCACCCCCATGGGGAAGCCAGATCCGCTTAAGAACCTGCAGCGATTCATTTAACCATGATGGCAAGAAAAGTCGTAGAACAGGGCAAGACTCACTAAATGAACGTTCCATCGAGCCACAGAAATTGTGGTCAAGAACTGCCAGCCTGTTTTTAATCATGCTGATTTCTCGCAGTTGCTTTCTACGTGCGACCTGCATTTTACGATTCTACTGGGTGAACATTAAATCCTTTGGAAAAACTGGCGTCGTGTTAAAATCCCCTCATGCAGTAGAATCTCTGGTCTGGAACACTTAGGACCACCACCAAATCGGGTTCCGGCTAAGAAATTCACAATTTTTTTCCCCACAGCTGATTCCAGCCATTTTATTTTTGTAAGCACCAAATTTCCAAAATTAGGTTCAGATCACGACCAAATCGGGTTGCAACCAAAGTTATGGAATGAATTATGGTGGTCACCAGAGGTTCTATTGTATGTACATTCTGTGTATATATTAGGGGATATATCCTACATCCCTGACATTCATGATGAGGGAACACATTTTTAGTTGACAGGATGAGGACTAAAAAATACACAAGAGGCCTTTTCAAACTCTTTAGCTCAGTGGGAACACCTACCTCATGGCATCCAGAAATTACCCTGTTTCCCCAAAAATACATCCTACCCTGAAAGTAAGTCCTAGCTTGATTTTTACACTTGCACCCAATATAAGTCCTACCCCCAAAATAAGCCCTAATTAAGATCCCGCCCACTCCAGAGTGCACAGGTAAAAATTAAGCTAGGATGGGGATGGGAGGGTGGAGTTGCCCTCCCATCCTTTGGACAGTTGTAGCCAGGCCTTGCACACCCAGACACCTGCCTGGCCAACCCATTTCTTCGGCAGCCAGCAAGGCTGGCAAGGCTTTCCTGAAGGCCTCTGTAGCCGATAACAAAGCTCTGGATCGATCCTGATCTCAATTATCGGCTGCAGAGGCCTTCAGGAAAGCCTTGCCGGCTGCAGAAGAAGAAGTTCCTGAAGGCCTCTGACAGCAAAAAGGAGGCCGGGAGCGACACACACAAGTGAGGTTAGTCCGTGGATGACGTCCTCCCCCAAAACAAAACCTGGTGCCTTTTTTGGTGGCAAAATATATATATATATATAAGACAGAGTCTTATTTTCAGGGAAACACTGTAGCTTTATCCTGCCTCACTTTAAAGACTTTCATAGCCACAGACACACATGTCTCTTCAGCTTGGTGTCCCTTCTGGCTGGGTTACCTCCCGCTCCTTAAAGTCCAGCCAAAGCTGGACTTCTGGTTCTCTCTCCCCAAACTGAGGCACAAATACAGCTTCCTTTTCTGTATGTTCTGATATGAATACTCCATCCATCTATCCATTCATCTCCATGCCCTCCATTCTCTTACCGGAAGGAATTCTACTTGGCTTCCCTTCACTATATTTACTTAACATGCCCTGTCTATAAAGACCATCTCTCCTTCTTCTTCTTCTTCTTCTTCTTCTTCTTCTTCTTCTTCTCTTCTTCCTCCTTTCTTCTTCCATCATGAGCTTGGCTTTCAACTCAAACGGTCTCGGCCCCGAGCAGACAGAGTTAGGGTGTGTCACCACATTCCATCCTCAACAACCGAGTTTTTTTTTTTATATTTCTGCAGTAACATCAATTGGGTGCCAGCCTTCCAAATTCCATCCAGACCCTTTTCTTCGCCCAAATCCGAGTATAAAATCGAACTCTAGGATTTTTAGGATTCAGCCTAAAAGCTGAAGGTTTAATATCCGTTTCACTCATGGTTGTCACTGCTTTCTGATGTGATCCCAGAATATTATGATTCCATACATACACACCCCACAAGGAAGGAGAAAGAAAATGTATAATTTTGGAATAGAATTGCTAGGCCTTCGTGTTGTATTTAAAATATAAATAACATTTTCTGTCTCTCTTAAACGTCTTTTAAAACTAACCCTATTTTAGCACATATCCTCTGGAAAAGAACTATGCTTTGTAGAACGGAACATAATAAATAAATTTGAGGAACACAATCCTTCTTGTGTATTTTTTCCCCACCCCGCATTATTTGCAAGTAGAAGAGTTCTTTCCAAATTTTCCTATTGTTTTCCCCAATGTAGGTGATCATTGAGTGTATTTGAATTATCCTTGAGATATTCCGGAGTCTCCGATGAGAGAGAAGGAAGATGATGAGGAGGAGGAAGATCTGGATTAATGGCAGAGGGGAATCCAGCCCACCTGGTCAGCCATTCATCCCCTGATCTTTTGGGGGTTGAGGGTGGGATTTCTAGGGACTTCCTGCAGGGACCGTCCCCGTGTCTTTCTTCCCAGCTTCTGTTTTCCTGCCTCCTGTTCAGCACAGTGTCCCCACCCACAGCTTCTTCCTGATGTTGCCTGGCTCCTCTTTCCTCTCTGTGGTCTTGGACCGAAGGTTTGAATTTTGCAGCCGCGGCTCCATCTTTTGGTCCTGTAAGCCTTCCGGAGATGGCTTCTCATCACTTGCCTTTGTTTGTTTGTTTTTCCCCCCCCTTCAGCGCCGTTAAGATCGGCACTGTTTCTCAAGCAGGAAACCAAATGTGTCAAAGCGTGGAAAGGAGATTCTCGGAGATCGGGGTTGGATTTAAATTTCGTGAACTGTCAAACAGAAACAGAAAGAGAAGAAGGCTGAATGGATTAAGCAGACTCTGGGCAACGGCCTTTGCTTCCTCTATCTCATCCCGTTCAAGGTCCGCCTCCCTTGGCAGAACATTCTGGAGCCCCCTTTCCCCCCCCCTCCCCGGTTCCACAAAACATCTCGACTTGAATTCAACAATACAAGGCGAAAGGGCTCGCCTGCCAAAATCATCATCTTTTAACCCATAACCCCTTGTGGGGTGGAGGTCTGGGCGACTGAACGGAGCTTTACTGGCCGGATGCCCTTCCTATCTCCAGTGCGGAGTTTTGTTCAGTGGATATATTTTCATTGTCCCCAGAGAGAGAAATAGCTGCCTCTCCCTAGGATCGACCTCACGGCCTCCTGGATTGTGAGGTGAGAGCTCCACCTCTAAGGCCCAGCGCACCACTCCCCTCGCCTGCCAAAAAGGCAGGCCTAGAAAACAGGGGATGGCCCTAGTTGACCCTCCTGTTTCGAAGCAAAACATCTTCCTGGGCCTCAGGAGAGAGAGCAGAGAGCAAGGACAGCCCTGATGTCAATCGTTGGATGACAGCCCAGGTCTACGTGGAGCGATGGGTCCCCAACGTGAAAGATTTCTTGTGACCCCCTCTCAGGAACACCACTGATGATCAGCCTTGGCTCCAAAGGAGAGGTGGGTCCTGGGTCCTGGGTTCTCCAGAACCAGTCCAAACCGGCTGACTACCACCTCTGATCGGATTCCCCAATGTAGCTTTGCCCTCCCTGCCATTCCTCCCCCACCAAATAAACTCCTATTATCAAGCCCCAAATTTCATTCGCTAAAGAATTATCCTGCAAGGAGGGGAAGTTGTTTCTTTAACCGTTTCGATTTACCTGGAAGGAAGAAGCTATCCCAGGGATATGAAATAAGCCATTTCTATCAAAACAGGTTAATTTTGCTTCCTTTTTCTTTTTCTTTTCCCCCTCCAGGTAGAAATTTAAACGTTGGCTTTGGTGATCATCTTCTCCAGTAAATTCATCATTCGTTCCTGCAGCTGCAGGCTCTGGACCTGGATAATGTTTTGCTGATCCAGAGTCCTTCGCACTTCGCGACACGTTTCCTCCATGGCCCTGCTCAGCTTCTTCTGCTCTTCCAGCATGGCCTCCATCAGCTTCAATTTCTTCTTCTGAAAACTGCAGCTCTGCACTTTTCTTTTCTTCACCGGTCGCTCTTCTGTTCTGAAACGGGAAAGCTTCGGCATTAAAAAAAAAAAAACACCCATCGCTGGCACTTATTGCCAGAGAGATTAGCCAAGATGTTCCCCAGTATGGCACCAAACTGCTGGAAGTGCAACTACATTCAAGGAACATATTTCCACATGTGGTGGGCTTGCCCATGTGCACAGAAATTTTGGCAAAAAATTAGAATCGGGATATTAGAAATAACAAAACAGAAATTAAAATCTGAACCTGAAATCTTTTTATTAGGCAAGATAGAACTCAATCTGAAAAAGAAACACCAATACCTGATTTTGCATATCTTAACTGCAGCCAGATGAAGCCGCCCAAAATTGGAAACTTGCTACGACCCCCTCAGAAAGCGTGGTAATTAATAAAATACCTGAGTCTGCTGAGATGGATAGACTTCTTAAAAAATAATCAAGATAGTGACTATTACAAAGTATGGGATATCCGGTATGATTGGTTAAAGAAAAGGAGAAATCTGATAATCTGACAATATATTGGAAACAAGGGTGACATGTAACTAATTGTAAATGTATACATATATAATTAAAGACATTAAAAGAACAAAGAAGTTATTGTAACAAGGAATAACACGTCAATAATGGAAATGTATAAGTGTAACTACTGCTCAAAGCCTGCTACAAAATGTATATATGTTTGTCTGTTTTTAACTTTATAAATGTTGAATAAAAACTTTTTAAAAAAAAGAAAACCCTGCTTCGTGCGTTGTGATAGTCTTTGCAATGTTATGATATCAAAATAATTCAAGGACGCATCCCGTCCCCGCTTAATAACGATATGAGGTAATACAGAAGAATAAAAAGAAAGAGAAAAGCTTGAAAAATTATAGAAGCAAGAGATTTCATGGACTTTGGAATAATTGTTTAAACATGAGCCAGCCGTGTGCAGCAGTAGCCAAAAAAAGCTAATGCAATCATTGCTTGGATAAACAGAGGCCTGGAATCAAAATCACGCAAACTATTAGTATTGCTTTATAAAATTCTTACTAAGACCACACCTGTAATACCACATCCAGTTTTGGTCATCACATTACAAAAAAAATATTGAGACTTTGGAAAAAGAGCAGAGAAGAGAAGCAACAAAGATGATTAAAGGCCTGGAGACTAAAACATATAATGAACGGTTGTAGGATTTGAGTTTGAATAGTCTTAGAGAAAAGGACTGGGGGGGGGCATGATAGCAATATTCCAGTTTTTGAGATGCTGCCCCAAAGAAGAGAGGGACAAATTATTCTCCAAAGCACCTGAAGGCAGGACAGGAAACAATGGATGGAAACGAATCAAGGAGAGAAGCAACCTGGAATTAAGGAGAATAATAGGGAGATCAATTTACCAGTGGAATGGCTTTGCCTTCAGATGTTATGCGTGTTTCATCACTGGAGGGTTTTAAGAAGAGACTGGACAGTCACTTGTCTGAAATGGTCTAGGGTCTCCTGCTTGAGCAGGGGGCTGGACTAGAAGACCTCCCAGGTCCCCTTCCAGTTCTATTCTGATTGAATGGATGGGAACTCATCAAGGAGAGAAGCAACCTGGAATTAGGGAGAAACTTCCTAGCAGTGAGAACAATCAACCAGTGGAACTGAAGTTGCCTTCAGAAGTTGTGGGTGCTCCAACACTGGAGGATTTTAGGATGAGACTGGACAGCCACTTGATCACAGGGTTGGACTAGAAGATCTCCAAGGTTCCCTTCCAACTCTATTCTGATTCAGTGGATGGAAACTCATCAAGGAGAGAAGCAGAGGTGGGACTCTACCGGTTCTGTCCACCTCTGTAGAACCGGTAGCTCTGAAGAGCAGCAGACACAGAACTGGTTCTATGTCTGCTGCTGTTTTGGCCCACCTGCCTGCCTGGGTTCTTACCTGTCCTTTATTTCCTGCTTTTTCAACCTCAGCTGCTTTGCGTGGCACAGCTACGGTTGAAAAAGCATGGAAAAAAAGTGCTTTTTCAAACGCTGCTTCCCTGCACGCAGCACTGCTCAGCTGTCCAGGCAGCAAGCTGACAATGTTCCACATGCATGCGCAGTATGCGTCAGGCGTGCATGCGTGTGAAGCAAAACATAAATCACCGAACCGGTAGTTACACCAGTTGGATCCCATCCCTGGAGAGAAGCAACATGGAATTAAGGAGAAACTTCCTAACAATGAGGACAATTAACCAGTGGAACAAGAAGTTGCTTTCAGAAGTTGCTTCATCAATGGAGGTTTTTAGGACAAGACTAGCCAGTCACTGGTCTGAGATTATATAGGGTTCCTGCTTGAGCAGGGGGCTGGACTAGAAGACCTCCAAGGTCCCTTCCACCTTTATTCTGTTTCAACAGATGGAAACTAACCAAGGAGAGAAGCAACCTGGAATTAAGAAGAAACTTCCCAACAGCGAGGACAATTAACGAGTGGAACAGAAGTTGCCTTTAGAAGTTATGGGTGCTTCATAGCTGAAGAGACCGGGCAGTCACTTGTCTGAGATTGTATAGGTTCTCCTGCTTAAGCAGTGGGCTGGACTAGAAGACCTCCAAGGTCCCTTCCAGCTCTCTTCTGATCGACAGCTTTGCTTGAAATTTTCCTTTCCCCATCTCACCTTAAGGCAAAAGTTGATCTGAACGGTCCATTGGTACAAAGGTGGTGCAGATTTCTCTTTTTGGTGTGCAAATACTAAATACTAAATACTAAACCCCTCAGCTGTTTCCTTCTGACTTCCCAACCCCGCCATCACCTTTGAAAGTAAAAATGTGGGGTGTTTTACCTTAATTTATACGAAATTAGGCTGGAGGAGCTGTCCGAATGCGCGTCTTCGAAGAATTCATCTCGTCCTTCGTACGGGAACTGGTTATAGGGCAAATAGAGAGGTGCTGATTTGGTGGAGGGCGACTGGGAGGCTTCAGTCTGTGAGGTGGAAGGGCCTGGTTGCTGGCTATCGTGAATCTTGACATCGTTGTGCTCCGAAACTTTAGATAATATTCTATCAATGGTTTTGAAATAAGGCCAATCGGGCGCCAAAGTTTCACTATCGGTCATGCATTTTAATTTCCTGGGATGACAAAAAACACAATCAGGTAGGCAAATGTGTGTCACACCCATGGAAATAAGAGAGATTCACCATAAAATAGGGCATCTAGCAGCTGACAATAGAATTAGGATAGGATAGGATAGAATGGAATAGAAGTAAAATAGAATAGAATAAGTATGGAATAGAATAGGAATAGAATAAGAATAGAATAGAATAGAATCCTCCCACCCCAGAGAAGATCGCCAAAGACATCTGCAAGGACCCCAGGTTAGGGTCTATGACAATTCACCATGGCCAGGTCTCCATGACCAACTCACCATGGCCAACTTGCCACAGCCAACTCTCTACAGTCAAGTCTCCATGGCCAACTTGCCACAGCCAATTCACCATGGCCAACTTATCACAGCCAACTCACCATGGCCAACTTGCTATGATCAACTCATCATGGCCAACTCTCCACTGCCAAGTCTCCATGGTCAACTTGCCACAGCCAACTCATCATAGCCAACTCATCATGGCCAACTTGCCATGGTCAAGTCACCATGACCAACTTGCTATGACCAACTCTCCATGGCCAACTTGCCACAGCCAACTCACCATGGCCAACTTGCCACA